TTCTTGCACACCTTGTAAATTTGAACATAGTACATTTAAACCGACGGTCAACAACTTTTATCCTGAACTAAAAGTGTTTACTCCTCGTGAGTGGGCTGCGTGATAAAACTTTGCAATGTCCTCACACAAAAGATACAGTTGCTGTTTAAAGTACTTTACATATTTTATGTCCAAATTGTTGCTCAAATAAAATATCCTTTGTGCATGTGTGTCCGGAGAACGACAAACTCCGGCCAACTATCCCCGAGTTATAATCCACCACATGCTTACTAGACTCCCTTAATTAATAGGTTTCAAGAGGGATTATATCACCATAGGTCGGTCGGCATTTCATGCAAAATGCCTAACCTTGCAAAAGATTGATATTCATTCGCAAACGGACATTAGGTAGCGTGGTAATAGTGATAAATTGTATTTTGTAGAATAGATGCACAGAAATATTTGTTCTGGTACACGTTTCCTGGCGAATTACGCCTGGTTCAAATTTTATACATAAAGAAAGGGTTCCTACATTTCCAAATAATTTTGAAACCTACCGTTACACTTAAATTCTAGGTTTTCTAACCGCATGCTGTGTACAGCATGTCGAAGGAAGAGTCAATTTTCCCGACTGTGTTAAAAAGAGGTCACATAGTTTTCATAAAATGTTTGTAACAGAGTTGAATCATGCTGTATTCATTATAGGCAAAGTTAGTAAATTGACAGATACGATGTATTATGAATGAAAATGTCACTGTCGTAAAACATATCGTGAGAAGAATTTTTTTTTTCAAATCCGATATATACCATATCTTCAAGTATGAAATTTAAAGAAGGCGTACTTTGTAGCAAGCGAGTACATAACCGAGTATTTTAGTGCACGTTTTCTACAAAATATATTTAAATTTATAAGGACAGTGAAACTCAGTGGGTTAATTGCATAGGACTCAAACAGCTATTTTTTCAGAATTTGATATTTTTAATGGCCTGATTGAAGCCAATTAAAACTCCGGCATCCCGACGTAACTTAAATGACTTGATGTTAGGCTTTCATCAGTATTACAGCCCTATTTAATTACAGTTTGCGAGTGAATATCAATCTTTTGCAAACTTCGCACTGTAGTGCTTTTTTGTGATTTTAAAGGACTCAGAACTAGTAGGCCAATTTGAATGAAATGTTAATACCGTTAAGGAATGGGCCAAAACATCTTACGATGGGGCATGAGAAAATATTATTTTGTGAAAGTCGCTGGTTATGTAGAAAGACGTGATTTTTTCCTGTCAACAAAGCAACGTATCATGCTCATATAATACAAAGACTCAAATGAAGTTTAAAAATTGACCCAGAGCCGGCTTTTTCACCCAGCTCGCTGCGTGCATGTTGAGTGCATCAGGTAGGAAGAAAGAAGATTTTTCACCGAAGTTTGATCCCGCCCTTTATAATTAATACACCAAAAATTCAAAAAATCATGTTTAAAATTTGTTATTTAGAAAATGCTGGTTCCAATGTGTGGTAATAAATAAATTCTTAGAACTACAGTTGATTAATTGAATAAATTATGGGAATCCTTAATCTTCCACTTTATGGACCCCGCGCTTTTATGCATTTCTGCCATCTTTGGTATATGGCCTATCCTGACATTCAAAATTTCCGAACAAAGGGCCCATACCCGTAAATGCCGTAAACAAAAGCACTTTTTAATAGCGGTAGTAGTGAAGCAAAATGATTTAAATGTATTCCTATGCATTGGAACTTCACTGCCAGAATCCGTAATCATCTCAGTTATTCGTGACGAGGCGTAACATCAGTACAATGAAGTCATCCTTCGTGTGATTTAATATTCAGAAAATAGTTTTGCCAACGGTTGGTTATCTAGACCTTGTTAGCCACTATTATCCCCAGGATCAGGTAAAATGGGAAGGGCAGTATTGGAGGTTCCAATTATGGGGCCCTACCGTTGACAAGCAGCAATGAAGCATTTAAGCAAACAGCAAAATTAATGAATTGCCACCAAATTGTGTTTATTTTAGGCCTATAAATAGCGGCGAAATCTAGCATGACAGTTCAAAATATTAAAGAAAGGCTAACGCTGAATAAATAATCTAAATTTGAATGATGAAAACTACTGTAAAACCGTTTGTGTTTATATAAGTGTTGTAGACTGCACCCGGAGGGTTACTTCCCGAAGCTAGGAAAAAATAAATTAAATCAAGGTGGGCTTTATATTTTAAACCAAGTAGACTTGCAGAACCTATGCGTACGGTAGATTCGACCAACGTTTTCTCTCGCTTGACAGAGCAGGTCATCTTTCAGGTCACCAGACTATTCTCTTCCACATACAATCCGCCCGAGCTTAATATCGTTCATGCTTTGATTCCAACGACGATCCCAAAGGCATGCCTGGCTCTGCCTGGGTCCTACTAAAAGATTTAGTCATAAATTTATCTCGCCTAGCTAACAACTGAATGAGTGACATTTAAGCGATGCTTCGATCTTAAATTATTTCTGAAATTGAACAGAGTTGCCGTGTACAAACGCCCAGACTCGGAGCCAAATATGTGCCCTTTCCACAAAAACTAAGAAGACATTAAGGCTTAGTACTTATCCGTGGAGAAGCTGGCAGTCATATTACGAAATAATGCTAAAAAAACAAGCAGCCATCAACCCAAATTCAACCGCCAACTGGAGTATAATTTCGTCCGTCTACTTTAATATCCAATATTTAGCACGTAATCTTGTTATTAAAATTTGATAACAGAGGTAAAACCTTTAAAGAAAGTGAAGTTGGAAAGAGCAAACAGCGATCAGTTGAAAGTATGTAAAACTTTACTTTGCGTTAAGAATTTTACTTAAAATATCAAGGAGACGTTCCCATCCCTTCCTATTAGCATTCAAAGTCAAATCAGGTTTTAGTGCTCTTCTCCATGAAAAAAAGTATGAGTGGTGTTCACCTATGTGTAACCCAGATAAACCAATTTCTGAATTTCAAACTTCATTGTTGAATGGTCGGGTAAACTTTACTTTTTGTTTTGTCTCTTTAAAAAAGCTTGCTCCTGGGGTTGTCAGTATGCAACCGGAATACTACCTCGAGACATCCGACGATAAGATCATCCGAGTAAGTCTATTTTTTGGCATTTGTAAATATTAGTTTACAAAACATCAAAAGAAATTCAAGCTCTCATGTTAATTTTATTCACTTGTTCCTAAAGTGCATATCAGAAGCACCTGTTAAAATGACCAGCTGCACATAGCCTTCCCTCTTCTGAAAAGGTTGGTATTTCACTGAGAAGAATATCATATAACTTGACCTGCTAGTTGAAATTCCTATTTAGGTCTCATATTAAAATCAGTTGGTCTTGTTCGTCGCAAGCGCTGCCTAAGTCCTTGCCGTAAATGCAATCAAAATACCTGTTGTCTCTCATCACTTCGGATTTTTTACGTCAGACGTGAGCATGGTGCCTGCAGCCATTCCGGAGTAATTGAATAAATACTCAACACTCTTCTCCAATAGAAATAGCTTGCGCCACGCAGATTTAACATCAACTCTCCTAAACTATAGCTCGTACAGGAGAGATCAGCGATATATATTCGACGTCTAACGACAACCCTTTTGGATCGGAAACAGTTCAAAGGGGCAAACAAGTTATTGAAAAGAAGATGACTCGATCGCTGGGACAATACTTTTATTCGCCTGGCGTTTCGAGATCCGTCGCGGATTCTTCATCAGAGACATATTCAGACAGCAGTAGCAGAATTATACAGAATTATACCAACTTTTCGGTTTCCGTTTGCCTTACTGGGGGTTGAACCACTGTCTACTCTTGGGGCAAGCATCACATTGTGACCATTGACTTAAACATATTGAGTTTAATAGGGGTTGTGGCAGACGGGAATAAATCACTCGACCCACTTGAGCAAAACTCGGCGGCCTCGATGGGATTCAAACCTTATCAAATAGTGAGATGGGTATCAAGCCGAGATAAGCCTATAGTCAGTTCAAACACTGGCATAGCCGACATCTAGGTGAGCTCATTTACCAGGCGAACCAGTCAATATTGTGGTTGTCACACCAGACGGGCTGCAAGAATAATGGTGAACAAAAAATCAAAATAATGTAAGAAAAATGACCTATTGAGTCTTGGAGCCCTGCAAATGTTAGCTTTATTTTTCGCAGAGACCAAGTTTACTACAGGGAGTGGACTAATGTACAGTCCATTGGCAACATGATGCTACTAAGTGGTATTTTCTTCTGGTCTGTAAAGGAAAGCGTTTATGTAGGTGACTAAGCAATATCCGGTATTCGTGGCATCAACTCTTAGTAAGGCTGCTGATACTCTTATAGCGATAAGGCGTGTGTTGGTGAACTATCCGACAGTTTAACTTTTAGTCTACCGTCATCCACAAAAAAGACGTGTAGGTAGTAGATTCTACGCTTTCGCACATATATCTCTCTTGTTATCGCTCGTTCACTGGTTTCTTTTAAAATGCATCGTTACATCGTGGGGATCAGTGTACAAATCAAACGCCGTGCGTCGTTTTGTATTTTATCCCAGACAATTTCGATTCAAAGCGATTCTTCTTAATGCGGGCGACGTTTTAACGATAAAAATGTATCGCTAAAAAGGCGGAAGCAAAAATCTTCCCTAAGCCGGAAATAATGGATACCCTAGTCTTGGATTTTATAGGAAAATATTAAAAATTACTTAGGTTAGCCATAGAGAATGCGCTTAATGCAGCCATTGGAATTTAGTACAACAAAAGTTACTCAGACTTCGGCGGAAAGAGAGAAAAAACAAAATTATTTAATAAAAATTAGAAAGTTGCTAGGAAACTATTTCGTTTAACATAAAATTTAAGACAAATGAATGTCTGCATTTAACTAAAGACTATTAATCCTTCAGAATTTTTTTTATCAAAATCGACTGTGCACCTGATCCGAGGTTTTCCTCGGAAGTTGTTTGTCTACATGTTTTGCTGATCCGAAGTGTCTTAAGAATCGCTCATTCATTTTCATCTATGGCCAGAAGATTATAAGGAGCCTTTTGACATTGAGACAATGGCAACTCAAAGGGATATTTATGCGAATATTGTGAAGCATCCTTTTGGAATTCCACGTCCTGTGCAAAAAAGCGAATTTGCCATCAGTTCATCCATCAACATTAAACATGTAACGCTGATTCCTCAATGTTTAGTTTACAATTTGAGTAGCCAATATTTCGTCACATTCACTTCTGTAGTACACAGATGTCATTAGTAACGGGCATTGCCTGTTATCCCTTGTCACAAAAAGCACTTTTGATGTTAGAAAAATGCAGCAAGAAAGGAGCCATACCTTCGATGAAGCTTGATTTCTTTTACCCTATAATTTAGTGTACTGCTTATTTGCGCATTCTTAAACAATGGTTGTTATATCTGCCCATTGCGTTTACTCTAACTGAACAATCTGCAGGCGTACAGGTTGGTCTTCGTTGCATTTTTGCGTGGTCGAATCCACTTGTTGTACAGGTTTCCTTATGAGGAAGGCATACCAGTGGGATATCCGAAAACGCCTGCATAGCTTGCAGAACTAAACACACAGCCTTATTATCTTTATTTTAGATTGTGCAGTACTTCAAGGATTTTATGAGTAATTACTCAATAATGCTGGGGGTCAACAAAACGGAGTTGGGAGCGTTGGAGAAGGTTTTTGAGCTAGAGACGCAGATTGCCAAGGTATGCTAATCAATAATGCCGTTTTATGCCTTTTATAACTGCAAACAAAACGTGGAGGACAGATTTTGTGATTATCATCTTTCTGTTATCTTCAGAAAGTATGGTTTGCGTACATTCAGTTTCATTGCTATCACGTTCAGTGGAACATTTCTGATTTTACGTTTCATCAAATTTCTATATTTTGACATGTACTGTTTAGCGGCAACCAAAAAGGCAAAACTGCAATACTTTTGATGTTTTAGGGGCTCAGATAATGTCCTGTCATGAAATTTGCTCATCAAACAGTAATCACAATTTTATCAGTCTGTGATATTTACATTTAGTAAACTGTGGTTTTTTCTGAATAAACGGAAACCTTATTCCGATTACACAAGTAGGGAGTCGTTGTATGCATATGCCGAGAGTATGTCACTAGTTTACTCCTTTACTAATCTCTTAAATGTGTTTAAAGGTGGTCTTAAATTGAAAATGTATGAAAATCCTTGAAAATTAGCTCCTAATACCTATTCCGTTTGTGCGTGATCTTGGTGCACTAAACCTTTGTCAATAAATTCTCACTTTCTTGACTGTAATGAACAAATTTATGCAGGACTCTTATGGTTTTTCGTCACTTAGAGAGAAACTGATTTTAATATTTTGAAAGCATATTTACTAGCTTTACATCGCAAAATTTGGGAAAATTTTCGTCTTTTAAACACAGGCGGTTTGAGGACTCCAGGGTACGCGCTGATGGCAATATTAAATTAGGAATTAATTTTATTTGTTCTGAGGCGAAAACCAAGTTAGCCTGTGTGAACGCTGACGTGAGACCGCATGCTGCGTAAGCTGCTATTTTTTACGTCAATGGCTCTTGACACAGGAAATGTTTTTGGTTGCAATTATTGTGGGCCAGTTACTCGATCTTCTCTTTCCTATATTACTGTCTTATACTTCTAATCTGCGCTGCATAGCGTCGTTCATGTAAAGGCTTGTTAAACATGCGATGATAAATCTGAAGCCAAAAATGAGGTTTCATTGGATAAAAAAATCCGTTTTTAACTGTAACAACCTATAATGTAATTCAGTAAAACTGGTTTGTTGTGAATGTTACAATTGTAAGCGACATAATTTCTCGGTAATGCCTTAGCTTTCCAAAGTCTATGTACACATGCGCAGATTGGTGTTGCAAAACTGTATAAGGGTAAAACACTAAAATACAGGGTGTCCCAAAAAGATGTATACACATTTTGATCAATTGTAACTTTGGGGTTTATTATAATTTTATTATTTAAAAAATGCAAAAGTATTACAAATTATCATTTTATTGTTTTTCCACTAAATTTTTACTATATTTTAAATAATTGAGAAAGAGAAAAGCCATTGAACATGAATGTGCCCAAATCCAAATGGAATGGTTTTATGGCGTGTGCGATTCCATTGCTTCGCATTGTCAGCAGTGTCTGGATTAAATGGATGTCAGTTTGAGAACACGCAGTGAGAAGACAATAAAATGATACTTATTAAGAGTTTTACACTTTTTAAATAATAAAATTACACTAACTACCAAGTTTACAATTATTTAAAGTATGTATACATTTTTTTGGGACACCCTGTATATAAGCAAAATGTAAATGGACGCAAATCGCCAATGCTATCTTGACAAGAAAATGGGAAGTTTAGACCGCAAATATGACCTGATTCCACCGATTTTGTCTTGTTTTGGTTGAGATAAATGGAAGAATATGCAATGCAGCATAAGTCACTTGTGATCGGTCAGTAAGTTTATCTTGATAGGTTAGCAAGCGACGTCTTACGTGTTCTGAAATTCAATAGTGCCATTAATCCGGTGATTTATAGATAAAAGTGTGTCAAATGACAGTAACTCTAACTTTTTTCTGGTTGGACTAAGACGGCATTACCCTCTCTCTGAATATCAGATCCACTGCCCTATTAAATCATCTCGTAATGAACGGCTACTAGATGTTATCTTTTTGTAAATCTTAATTGCTGAGCAAACGTCAGATATATGTTACACTTGCCATTTGGTATAATTTTAACTGATCCATTTCACATTTACCAGAGTATGGAACCCCGCGCACGGCAAAGTATAGAGACAAATTACGTAAAGTTGAATCTCACTGAACTCTCTCAAGTTTGTCCTGTGGTAAGTTGAGCCGTTTTGACCACATGATATCGCATAACGTTTTGAAAATGGCTTTCCTTTTTCCGCATTTCAAGTATGCTTTTACTTTCAATAACTGTCTTTGCAACTTGTGTTATTTACGACCCAAATGTAAATTTCATGCCTTTGTAGCTTTACTGTTTACCTATGAAAAGACGGCAAACATACAGATGTCTTAAAAATTCCATTTGGCAAACTTATGTTTACAGTTATTCATCGTCAGATCGCTGCGGAGAAATAGGGGAGGATCTCATGAGTTAGGTACGGTGCTTTTTGGCGGAGAACCTGCTCGTATTGGTCGCAAACGCCAAAACGAAACTTTCGAATAACCTGCCAGACACCAGCACACCATTCTATGGGGCTACACAAACAGGTGCTAGCAGTAACGGAGGCAGTGGCGATTAGGTTGGCGAACCCAGTGCTCTTTTGTCCGAAGACGTTGAAACATGTAGTTTGTACTCCCTGACCGACACTAGGTGGTA